CAGTTACAAGAGAGAAGAGGCTGACCCCCAGCTCACTACAGCCTCCATTCAAGTAGTCATAGAGAGCAGTAAGGTCTCCCTGAGCCTCCTCTTCTCCACACAGAACAATCCCAGCTCCCTCAGCCGCTCCTCATAAGGCCTGTGCTCCAGACCCCTCACCAGCTTTGTTGCCCTCCTCTGAACACGCTCCAGGGCCTCAATGTCTTCCTTGCAGTGATGGCCCCAAAACTGGACACAGTACTCGAGGTGCAGCCTCACCAGAGCTGAGTACATTGTTGATTTGCTATGTTCATCTGGAATCCTTTTAGAGTGACAAAAACGGCATATTATTGAGTGACAGAATTCAGGGTGAATTTGAAGGAATGCAGGGATGATCAATATTGCTCTGTACAGAAAGTAGAGAATGTATTTATTGACAGACTAATTTTCTAAACCATGAGAGCAAACTAAAACATCGTCCACTTAATCTCAGGAAAATCATGTCAATGCCTTAGAGACAGATTTCTCAAATCATCAAAATTAGGCACATCAAAAAACTTAAACCTTCAGAAATGAAATAAGAAATAATTGCTTTTATCGGAATAAAAAAGAAAAAGGAGAGAATGTATGAAAGAAGCAACTTCATACCTGTTGGAATTAATATTTTTCACAGATCATTGGTTTAGTCCTTTCTACCATCAACATTAGAGCAGAGTGTTGCCTGTGATGGGTCTGATCAGTGGATGGCATTGCTGTCAGCCTTGCAGGTACACACCATACGGTTTATGACTGTTTTGCTGTGATCAGAGGAACTAGAAAAGGAAGCTGTACTGAGTCAAGGCCTCACACGGCTGTAGTAATTTTGGTTAAGCAGAAGTCCATACTGGGCCACAGTCTGAATTTTCAGAGAGTTGCAAGCAATTCTAGAGCAAAATTTAAATCTTCTTTCCACTGGCACCCAGCCGTATTATTTACAGCACAGTATCATAAACACTTAAAGCTGGCATAATACGGTTGGTATTCCTAACAGGGCTGGTTTAGACAGTTTAATCTTAACCATTACCACTCGCACCAAACCCTTTATGCCATGGAAATAATTAGTAAAGGCTGGGGCTCTGCTTTTTATTTTATTAAAGAAATAGTAATGGCTTATGCAGGTTTTCATGAATTGTACAACAATGATAATAGCCACATCATTGCTGAGAAAATTTGAACTTGAAAGAGTTCAAAGCACAACTCAGATGATCGGGAACACAACTGTAAATTTACCCAAATCTAATAATCACTCCAACTGCAACCCTGGCAGAAAGCTGCCCATGTTCTCACAGATAATCCCACGGGAACCTTTAATGTACTCAAAATATTCAAATACCTTTTTTGGTCTCATTTGAGAGAAAAAGATGACACTGTCATAGCAAAGAATCGTCTAACAGCCAGGTTATCAGCTCAGTGACACAGGAGGAATAGTGCCATCTACTGAATTAACTGAGATCTTTAAAACATAGCTCAACAAAAACATCATGTTTGATTCATTGCACATAAGCAAGTTGTTGCCCAGTTAATCTTACTGTAAATTGCTATAGTAAAGATACTTCATGTCACATATCACCTGCTGTTTTTCCTTTCCCATCAGTGAATCTCAGAAGGTTATTCACAAAAGAAATAAGGTTATTCCTTTCAAATGTTTGCAGTGTCACTGTAGATAACCTCGCATAGGCACAGGATACTTGCAACAATCCCAAGTGGAGCTGTTGGCCATTAACAATTAAAAGAAATTATAAGCCTGTAACATGAAAAAAACTGGACAAAAAGGAAAAACAAAATATATTTACTGTTGTTTTTTTGGTTTTGTTTTTTAGAAATATCCAAGGAAATCTAGAAATTCAGCATTTGGCATTAAGAGAAATGTGATGAAATAGACTTCCAAGGGTCCACATCATCAAAGAGAGAGGAGCAGGGTATCCTGCTCAGCAAATAGTCACTGTTCAGTAGTATTGAGATGACACATGCATAAATGGAAAGTATAAGATATTATGGACTTTGCAAACTGAGAGAATATTGACTGAACAAGCAATACTTATGCATATAAACGAAGTCTCTACAAATGCTTTATCATCAGTTGTGCCAGGAGGGAATTCAAGGAATTGGCTGCCATAAGAATTTCCAAATGACTAAGGAAATGTGCACATAACTGAATCTTTTACTCGGTTAAGCAACTAACATGATCAGAGGCTATTCTACGGTTAGTCACTGAAAATAAAACAATGAAGCAAGTATTTTCTAAATCTATACACAACTAAGGAATGCCAAATAATCATAAAATTAGGTTCAGAAATACCTTCAGGTATTTTAGATTTGATAGTACAGAATTCAAATAAATGCACTGCTCTAAATTATGAACACTGAAAGAAACATCTCAAGAAATATTACTTTAGAAGATACAATTTCATGGATAGTTGTTACAGAAAAATTGAAGATCAAAGGAAATATGGAATTTAGAAATGTAGGAATGTTTCTGTTCTGCCAATCATACTGTGCACACTTGTTATCCTATAGTTCTCATACACTTTCCCCAATAGGACTTCTGACTGTAAGAAATGAAATTCAAACTGTGAATTACTAGCTAACAATAAAATATGTACAACCTTAACTATTAGAAACAATGCTATGAAGTCCTTCTAAACAGTAGTACTACGTATTGTAATCACTAAAACTTTTTCCAGATTAGATTTTTCCATTTATACGTAGCATAACTTTGGGAGTTTAGGCAGTAAAGTGATTTTAGAATTATAAATGTTAAAACTATATTGAATATTTAATGAATTTAAGAATCTACCATGTAAATGTTAAATTGCTTTGTGCAGACGTTTTGGCAAATCTACAGAGGTTTCAACAAACCTTTGCAGGAAATGAAAACATCATGGTACTCATTCCGTTGAGAAAACATTCTCATTTTTAAGAACTCTGTAGACTTCCAAGTTATCTTGTTAAGTAACAGAAGCCCTATGGTATGTGCAATCAGCCCAGTCACTCAGCATGAGTAGCCAGCTGAGAACATAGCTTCATCCCACACTTATCGAAGTCAATGGAAAAATTATCTACAGAATTTTATAACTGAAGTACATAGGAACCTTTCCAATTGTTTCAATGGGCAACAAGTCCATCCCATCACTAGAAGCAGAAGCTATAGTCCGTGAGTAATGTATGAGCTATCCTTAGGCTGCAATGTATTTGCATAAACTTCTGGTTGAATTACTCAAATAAAGAAAAAAATAAATCAAAATTGAAATCTATTCACAGTTAAATGGCAAGCTGGAAAAGAGATTTAGTGAGTTAAATTATTCATCAAGCTCCAGTGAAAGCATATTTCAGAGATTCATGTTCCCAAGTGAACTCATGCTCTGCCACAGCCTAGCTAAATTTAGCATGAATAAGCTTCTCTGGACAAACAACAGCCAAATAAAACAGGTGTCCTAATACATGCACCCAGCACCTGTTATTTTGCAGAGAAACAACCACAGACACAGTTCTCATTTGATTTATTAAGACTCTCAGTATGTACAAAGCTTTTCTGTACTGAACACCCAAACAGGGCCTTGCATCAAAATGGGTTTCTGATGCTGCCCTAAATACTAAATTCAAAACAATTTGCTTTTTTGTCCCTTCCCTCACCTGACTGATTTATAAGCTTTAAAATATCAGTTGGTTACGTGTACTATAATTGCTGTGAAATCTTTTTCTTTCTTCTATATACTTTCTAAGATAAGGTGACAGAATACAAATCCATGTTAAGTCATGAATTTGCCACTATGTCATGGCATTTGCAATTACTTCCATATCTTTTAACTTCTTTTTTGTTTTTAATAATTTCAGTAACGTGGTTCTATAAACATAGAAATTTTATTTCATTGATTCTACGGACTTTTCCATTCTAGTGCTAGATTCTTCACTAAAGCATCCTTCACGTATAATTTATATAATTTTTAATTTAATTTATGTAATTTATGTGGAGCTGTTGGAGAGGGTCCAGAGGAGGGCCATGAAGATGATCAGAGGGCTGGGACACCACCTCTATGAAGACACGCTGAGGGAGCTTGACCTGTTCAGTCTGGAGAAGGCTGTGAGGAGACCTCACTGCAGCTTCTGCACTTTTAAGAATCAAAAACGAATAACTTAGGAAGGGTTCCTGCACAAACACTCAGGTGAGAACACCAAAGCAGTCATGTCTGCTTGCACAATCTCTTCCCTACCAATTTCTGAGAGGACGTGTAAACATAGATGGAGAAACAATGCCATAGGAAATATAGTGGAGAAGCAGAGTTCAGCTCTAAACATCTGTTTGGAGACTGTCAGAAAGCTCAGGTGTCAGGGGAGCTCTGACAGGAGTCTGGTGTTGACAGACAAGGTGGGCTGGAACAGAGCCCTGGGTATAAGGAGTACTGAAGGGATACTAGGAGGTGAACTAGAAAGTAATACTGCTTGAAGAACAGTAAAAATCAGAAACAAGTGCTGACACTAATAAGCTGAGTGACTGGCAGTTTGACCGAACATTGTTAGAAGAGTGATGTGCAATTCACTCACATTTATCAGGATAAATGTTAATTCTATGTTAAAGAATTTACAATCTTATTGTAGAGGAAGTAAAAGACAAATGACTAAAACATCAGCATGTGAATGTGCATAAAAATATAGATTCTTAAGAACGAATTAAAGCTGCTAATAACAGTCTTAAAATGAAAATTAAGTCTTTGCTGAATTCTAATGCTTATGAAAATTTGTAGATTTCCACAAGAAAAATAATAATAATAAGGACTCCAGAAACATACTCACTCCAATATGAATAGAGACTAAGATAAGCCACTTTTAGTCAATAGAAAGAGTCATAAAATAATGGAAAGAATTGAAAACCAGTAAGATAGCATTAGAACATAATGACTGAGAAGATGAAGAGTAGACAGCTTAGAGAAAAAGCAAGCAGAAAGAAAAAAGGGGGAGATAAGCTGAGTTGAAAGCCCCAAACTTTGTTTATTTAAATTAACTGAAGTGAAAGAAACAGAAAAGTCGTTGAAGTGAAACTAACAATGGATATGGGCCATAAAACAGAGTGTGAGAAGGATCAATCTGCTAATGGTACTGACCTCTCTACTGATGCTAACGTGGTCAGGGCAAAATACAACATTTGTGCTTAGACATGGTAAACAGCAAGATAGCAGATAATTGCACAGGCACACTCTCTCAAATCAATGGCATTTTTTCCTCATAGTTTATCTATGAGGAGATAAAAGCAGAGGTAATGATCTACTTAGCTTACACATTAATTTGTATTCAAAGAACTAAAGCGCAGTAAATAATAATTACCATCTCACAGTTTTGCTCTAAATCTTGTTGCAAAACTCTCAGCTGCCAATAAGTACTAATTCATTTTGCAGATTTTTTTCTTCCCCTTTTTAAAAACATTTCTGCATTTCACCCACTTTGTTTTCAGGAGACAACTGCACTGCAGAATAGCTAAGCAATAAATAATGTCAAGATCTTCAACAGCATAAAGATATAAGCAGTTTAACTCTCCATACATAATTTCACTGGCTTCAGTGAGATGCATAAAGCCAAACAAGCAAAATACAGGACCAAATTATCAAAATATGTTTTTCAAAACAAGACTGTCAAACTCTACTTGTAGGAAAGACTTTTAAAATTCTTTAACTGCTATACTATATCAAACTTGCTTTGATCTCTTTAAAGAAACGCAAGTTCAGATGTCTAAAATAAGCTATTGCTTGATTCTGTTACTTCTGTGATAGAAGCAGGAATCGTGCTGACACCTAGCATTTCTTTTTCTCCAGAAATATATTTCTGAGCATAGCTGCTTGTAATACAAACTATAATCACCTGTTCAGATAGTTTAAGAAGGTTCATATCTGCAAAGGCAACCACATTTGTTTTAAGCAAGTTTTTTGGTCTAGCTGACAAGAGTGAATAAAATGATCTGCTCTGAGCTACTCCAAATTTCTTACTAACTCGCATCTCATTATGAGCTTATATTAATTCTAAATTTGCTGTCAATTGCTAGATGCCTGATCTGAAAGGAAATCAGAGAATTTCATTTAGGTTCTTCGTTTTCCATTTTTAGCTTCACCCAATATCGTGGAAAAAACAATAAAACAATATTTTTTTCTGATGTTAGTTCTATTTTGTTAATGTCATCCCTTTTATACTTTCCTACACCACCTTGGTAACCTCTACAAAAATAGATACTAATTTGTTTTGATCATTCACAAGTCTGGGAGTAAGGAATCACAAAGATTAACACCAAAAACCTCTATTAAATGTGATGAACAACCAAGTACAGAACAGAGAAAATTGACATGGATTGAGTCCACAAGAAATACAGCCATACTGTTATTGAAGCGTTTACATAATTTTCCCTTTTGAGAGAAAACAAAACAAAGCCAACACAATTCTCTTATCATTTAGATGTTTTCACTAATATTTTACAGTTACATATACAAATATATCTTGTCAGTCTATGATGTCCATCACCACATCCTATGCACAGAACGCACTTTCAAAATATTCAAAGATTTACAAGGAAAAACAAGCTATCAGCTGTTACTAACCAATTCACAGAGTGGCTGAGTCCTACCTCTCAGTAGGTATTTAAGTATTTTACTCCTCTTCAAATTAATTGGAGTTTGAAATTTAAGTGATTTACCCAGCATTTCACAGGGTTTCTGTGTTAGGAAAGAGAACCAAGTTCAGCTCTCTAGAGTATGAAACTCATCACACCATTATTCCTTTCCAATGAAATATTTCACTTAAAAGCTCCTTTTTCTCTTTCATTTCTGACACAGAAAAAACATTTCTAAGAGATATTGATTGAATTAAGCCTTACCTTGACATTCTGTCTGAGCACAGCAGGAATCATTCCACAAGGAAGAAGTAAGGGAAAATGACTTGCTTTGGCACATTACAACTTACTGTTTAAATAAAAACTAATAAAATGTCTTTGCTATTCATGATTTGTGCACCCATGTATTCCTTTAGATCATTTAATTCATTCATCTAACCTCCAGAAACTCCACACGTGGAAGACTGAAGAAACAAGCAGAACACATCTCTGCTTGTTGAAGATGAGGTCAATTATCAGAGGTGATCTGCTAGTGACTTCTGCAGGAATATCACATGGTTTCAGGTCAGCTTTTACAGGCCAAGAGCAGCAACATGAATTTAGCCAGCAAATTAATTGGAAGCTGTGGTACCTGTAGAACCCCAACACACCATGTTTGTGATGGACTATTTAGCAGGCAGGCATATGTTGTATTAATTTCAATAGCCATATTTTCCACTCAAAAGACAAATACTAAGGAAAAATGTCATCACATACATTAGCTGAAACTGTCAAAGAAAGCCCAGTCTTCAGATTATGAAAGATTGTAATTTCAGTATAATTCCAACAATTGTATGCCTATAAATTAGGTATGTTACTAGATTTTAAAAAAAATCAATTATTACAAAATGCCCATATAGTTCCCACTTAAGAATAAAAAGGTATTTAGTTTAAAAAAGGAAAATGTTATTCTCCTATCTAAAAAGGCAATGAAGGAAAGGCTGCTGCGGAATATCACAGTCTGCACAGGGAAGTTTCACTGGATGTGTTTTAGAAAAGCAACAATATATGTGGTAAAAGGATAACTCAAACTGAAAAAAACAAGAACAAAACAAAACAAGAACAAAACAAAAACAAACAACAACAAAAACAACAACAAGAGAACAGGAAGCTCCTGTACAGGCTTAAAAGAAAAAGAAAGAAAAAAGAAAAAAATTGGTATCAGGAATTCTTCCAAAGGGAATTGCTTGTTTCCTACATAAGGCAAGAGAGAATTTGTACATTATGTAAACACAACAACATTAAAGATATACAACCCCTTGAGAAATGCATACATTTAATTGGGATGCCCTTCAAGATCTAAATGTTTATGGCTAGCCGTTTGTGTTTTAGGATTTCTCAATCTTACAGTACAACACAGGGCAGCAATTTGCCAGCAAGCAACAATCTGAGTTGGCATATTTATATAATGCACAGCCATGTGGAACTACTAACTTAGTCCCAATAGTCATATCGCCCATTCTCTTGAACTGACAGTCTTTGTCCTCAGCAGGTCCTCCACTTAGCTTGAGCATTACACCACAGTAGCACAGCTGTTTGCTTCTGGTTCTGGAAACAGGGCAACCGTATTCTGTTCCAAGAGATGCTGCATAAGGTCAGCATGCCTTTAAGCAATCAAATTTGAAAACGTGCACCAATATATATCAGAAATTATAGCGTTAATATATCATACATGAAACACTGTTCTTGACATCAGTCCTTTGAATATTTTTTCCTTATTAATATGATGAAAAATGTAGAAGAATAAAGACGAAAGGGAGAAACCCTAAAAAAAAAAAAAAAATTTCCCCTTTTTTCCCTCATCTCAAACTGCAGTGTCATAAAAATAGGTTGACTTTTCTTTTTTAAATCCTGCAAAGCAAAGAAAATACAGTAATTACCAGTGCCAACCTGGCACCCACTGGGTCTTCTGCCTTGCCAAAATCTTTCATTGAGCTGCTAGTTGAAAGTGTGAGGAGCATGCTGATGCTGCAGCTGCTGCTGTGTTTATGTCCTGTGCTGGTGGAGCTTCTCCAAGGATTTCCTTTAGAACAGCTCATCTTCAGTTCAAATAAAATAAAGTTCCACATCAAATAAATTCTTTAAAAAATGATTTAAAAAATCCCTCTCAATAAGAGAGATCCTGACAGCACTATGATGCAAATCTAAGACCTAAGCAGAGCATTAAACTACCTAAACTCCACGTATGTTTCAAGCAACCTCTCAACACAAGACATTAACACTTAGGCCACTGCTGAATGCAAGCTAAAACATTTATTTTTCAATATCTGCCAGCTGCAGGCCCTCTCTCATTAGCTAACATACACTAAGTGCATGGATGTTTCGTGATTTTATACATCTGCATTGTATCAACATAGGAGTACAGAACAGTTTAGATTAACAGAAAAGTTCCAAGGCCACTTTTTACATTATGACTAAAACAAATACTGCAACGTTACCAAACCTGAACATAAGACTAACAGAATAAATAATTTTGTCTGCATGGATTACTACAGAAATTCTACTATGATGGAATACAAAGGAAGAAGCCTTATGCCTCAAGTGGGTGGTGAGCAGTGCGGAAAAAAGCACTGTCAGGTACCTGGTTGTGGCGTTGGTAAAAACATCCAGTAAGGAGCAGCATCAATTCACCACCCGTAAAGTAAACTGGGAGCTAAGATGCAACTCACCAGGTCAGCAGCTCAATAGCCACTGCAGATTATTTCCCCTAGCACGACAACATATATCCCCTTCAGTAAAATTGTTCTGAGAGAGATGGACTGACAAAAAAATGGCTGTTTGAAACAGAATATACAATTGTATAATCATGTCTCAGAATGCTTTGATAGTTGTTTTTAATTTTGATTAACAAAGGAAAGGGAACTTATGCAACCATTTCACAGTTCGGAGTACAATTTCCAAGGAAGATTTTACATGACATGAAAGATGATAATGATGTGTAAACTAAATGGAAAGTCTAATAAATATCACATCCACACAGATACATACGCTTTCTTTGCTACCTAAGCTGCAAGCCCAGTCTATCTGCTGACACAATTTTGGTCTCGGGACATAGCCAGGGCTACAAAGCCACAGACTGCAATTGACTCCAAGCTTGGTGGTTGTGAGACGAGCTACAAGTGCACACCAGATCATGATGCATGCTCCATATTGGTCATTGATCCGACAGCAAGCAGAATCAGGGAGAAACTGGGAGCAAGGAGAGCATTTGCGTAATTACAGCCTAATAAAGTGAGTCAGAGTGAGAGCTTCAACTTGTAGAGGAAGCACAAATGCCTACTAAAAAAAGTGAGAGGAACAATAGGACAAGCCCTGATTCTCATAAAGACTGCTCTGAAAGTACCACCTTTCATACAGTAGCTCAGACTACAGTGTGTGATCATTCCCCAGAGATACATATTTTAAAGTTGATGTCAGAGAACTCTTAATGTACTTGTAACATTTCAATTACTATGATAGATTTATTTTAATGTAATACATGCTACTCACAGAGATGTTGAGCAACTTTACTTCCTACTGTCTTCCCTTGGAGTTATAAATGCTCAGCAGCCATGATGAATGGGCCTGATATCTTTTGCTACAGGGTATGCTGAAGATTTGCATTGTTTAAGTTACAGCAATTTACCTAATGGTTTGTATTTATTCTCTCTGTGTAGGGTTCCCACAAAATTTGAACACCACTGAATAAAGACAAAGTTTAAAAATTGAATATTGGTCAAATTCCAGAAAAATACATTGAGATCTTTTTTCACTATAGAAATCATTTTCAAATTATAAGAAAAAAAGAGCTTGTATGAAACTAACAACAGTGGAAAATTGGTACACTTCTCCTGCACAGTGACATCTATGGGAAACCCTAAGAACTAGTGGCATTCTGTATCTCCACAAGTAGACCAAAATTAATGGATTCTTAAATGGTGTATGGAATTCATATGATATGTAAAATTATTATCTTTTTGAATAACAAAAGTCCTTTTTTTCTAAAAGGAACTCACCAAAAGAAGGTAGTACGCTATTGTCTGATAGTACAATAATGCAGGTAAAAACATCTACATTTTTGAGCAGTTCCATGATTGGACAGTCATTTGTATCAACCACAGATAGCTGGCTGGAGGATATTTCTCTGGCTTCAGGCTATTTTACACATATCATATATGTATTCACTATTCACTGTAAATGAGTTACACCTATTTTACCATATGAAACTCCTAGCTATGCTCCAGATCAGAGATCAGCAGCACAAATGAGTTCAGACAGAGATGCCCATTTGGCTGATTTGAATTCAAAAGAAAACACTTTTTGATCTGGGCTTATTGTAGTGAGAAAACTGCGGCTTCCATAAAATTTAAAGCAAGTAAACACAGATAAGGATCTTTGTTTATAAGGAATAATTAAATATACGTATATATGTATTTCATTTTAGGCTACAGTGAAATCAGCACTTTCTGATAGCACTACTTACATTTTAGAGCAGATATTCTACGAATAACACTCTTCCTATTTTCCTACAAACATGAAAATAGGCTTCAGCTCCTGAGCTACCAGAATATCCCGAACAGTAAGATTCATGTTGTTTCTCTACTGTTTGGTGAACAAGGAAGGAAAGAAAGACTACTCCTTCGTACTAGTATGAATCCCTAATAACCATCGATATATTATCCCAGTAGCTGGGGCTCAGGATCTATTAAAGATGCTTGGGCTAAATTTGCAGTGGTGAGCACAGCAAAGAGAGAAGCATCTGCTCCAGCCTTTCAACACATGCTGGAGCTGTTGGTGCAAAGTATCCTACTGTGCAGCCCTTCAGGAGATACTGAAATTGTTTCATCTGTGCCCTAAAAGTTAGAGCAGACACAGATGTAGACAGTAGACAGCAGACAGCTTGCTCCCACTTTGTACCTGCTTTAACAGTAACCCTTCTGCCACATGCTTGTCCAAGGTAGCAGAAGTGAAGACTGCAATAATTGTACATGCGTGTGATGTTGCACTCCTACAAGTGAAGTTCTTCTGTTAAAGATTGCATCAGATTTTTAAATTATAATACAGAGGCTGAACAACCTAGCCATGAATTCTATACAAGAATAGAGGAGATGAGAGTAGCAGCAGCATGTTGAAGCAGCTAGGTTAAAGACCATGTCAAGAACCTGAAAAATCACAGAAAGACTAAAAAGGCTGTCAGACATATCTTCCAGCAGCAACAAAAACACAGAGACCATATAAGCAGAGAATGGCTTGAAGATCCTCACATTTGAAGGAATGTGAGGGTTAGCAAGCAAAGGTGACTTATCATTAAAGGCCAAGTCTCTGTGGTAGGCTGCATGTTATAGTGCTACAGAAATAGCACTACTGATTCTCTATAGGAAAAGCTCAAATGTCCAAGGATGGGTATCTCTCACTTTCCTGCTCTACTCCATAGATAAAATCAATTTCTGCT